TTTACTTTTTTGACTAACAGCCCCATAACCTCAAGTCCCCTTAAATTAGTACCCTCCTGATTGTCTCTGTTGCTATCAATTATAGTACTTGAAAATGAACCACATCTGAGGAAGAGTTTGTGTTTAGTTCAAACAACTCTTTTTGTTCCACTGACAATAAGTACGTGTGCTGGAGTGTCATTTTGAGAGTTCTGAGGCTTCAAGAAATCTTTTCCTTTGACGTAGTCTCTTAGATATCATTCTTACTAGTTTTATTCTGTGTTATTAGAAGGACATAAATTAATTAAGGTTAAAGCCTTTGAAAAGAAAGCCAGCCTTTTACATTTTTAACTTCAACAGTGAAGCATTTTTGTGAAAAGGCATACATAAATTATAAACAAAGACAATGAAACATACTACATGGAAGGAATAGTTTCTAAAACTAAGTTAAAAGTGGAATTAAAAGCCATTATAGTCCTTATTCAGTGAAAAGTAACTTCAAATCTTCTTTTTCATGCCTTAACAGGTAAGTTGGGAGCTTCTATACAACTATAGCTCATAAGCTATATGGCTAGGGAGCCATTTGTTTTTGGGTGAAAGATACATTTTGTTCAGTGTTTTGAAGAAGCCCAAGTACGTCAGGTTGAGTCAGCAAGGAGTATGTGAATTACACTCACTTTCTTTAAATCCCAGGTAATTTAGGGGTCTTGGCGGGAATTTTCATCTGTGCTCAAATCAACGATAATGAGTCCATTCAACCCAAATGTACTGAGCCCTTGCTTACCTCCAAAGATGAATAAAATATCATTCGTGCAGTCCAAGAAAAAATATAAACAGAAGCATTAGCTTAGTAAAAACAGAATCCTACCTATTCATGTATAGCTGAGAATACTATGAGTTTGTGAGTTTATGAGTTTGTCATTGAATGACTTCACCAATTTCCCACTATGTAGTCTTTTCTTCCACTTATCAGGAGAAATTAAATTAGGTAGTTCATTTTATTAAATAATAATCCCGTTCATGTGACTAGTACTGTTGAATGTGCTAACATGGCCTTCACTAGGTACATGTGCCTATTTACATCTCAGTTAAAAGTAGTGAAAAGTTAATAAAAAGTACTTTAATCAGTTCTTCAGTTGCACTAGCCCTATTTGAAGTGTTTAGTAGCCACATATAGCTCATGGCTATGAGAGACAGGATAGACTGCAGAACATTTCCAGCATCTCAGAAAGTTCTGTTGGATGGTGCTGATATCCAGTTTGCAAATCAGTTTCAGATACCTTCTCTCAGTTGATCCTCACAATAATCCTACAAGATGGCAAGGTGTTCCCTGTTACTGGTATCCCTAAAGATGGAGAAACTGAGGGGCCAGGAGGCTAAATCATGTATCTTTGCGTAGACTTTAACTTCTAGACTTCCCATGGGAGCAAGCAAATCCAAGTAATAGTAATAGAAATGAATAAAGAATTTTATCTACAGATGTTGATCTTCTGATAATTTAAAGGCAGAGACATGGCCTCACTTGTTCACCGTTATATTCCAGCATCTATCACAGAGATTGGCACAAACTAAGTATTCAATAGCTACTGATTAGATGAATGAATAGGTGTAATTTTTGGTCCAAACAGAATTTACAGTTTAATAGAAATTTTGAAATATGGATATCTGTGTCAAAGAAATTGCTGGATTAACGGATTATAATTATAATTCTGCTTAGCAGAAGAAAAACAGATTGAAACTTACACTCTTTATTCTGCTTGTGATCTCTTTTTTAGTAGAGTCATAGCTAGAGAATGGTAACTTCTTTTCTATACCTTGCTGGGTTCAGTCGTTTGAAAAGTTTGAAATAATTCTCTGAATGTGTAGGTGCTCTTTCCTGGCAATGAGACTCAATTACCTGTTGCTGCAAATACTTATTTAGTATGAGTGTTATTGCTATGTATTTGTGTTTAATCTAGGAGACAATTGTTTTAAGTTAACATTTGGAGGTCATGAAAATACAGTGAAGATGGTCAGTAGTCTTACGTATGGTCTCCTAAAATTATAAATTATATTTTATTTTAAAATGGCATTTAAATGTGTGAATCAGCTTATTTGACCATGACTTAAGTGTACAGCTCTTACAAAGAAAGTATAAAAATGTCCCCAAGTGTAGCCTTTAGATCGTTTTGAAAGAGAAAAGTAATAGAACACTAAATAACAATGTTTCCGAAAGTTGGCTTTTATAATATGTAAAATATATAATTCTAACATTATATTAGCTTTAAGTAATATAAAAACTAATATGATTTACTATTTACCAAGAAGGCAAATAGATAATCTATGGCAGTGCCATTATAGTTGTTCTTGTCATTAAATGAGATCCTTGTGCTTTTGTTTGCCTGTTTGGGTGGTTTTTAAAATAGTATCTTACATGATAGTCTTTAAATTTTTTTTAATGTTTATTTTTTAGAGAGAGAGAGCATGAGTGGAGGAGGGACAGAGAGAGGGAGATATAGAATCCAAGACAGGCTCCAGGCTCCATGCTGTCAGTACAGAGCCTGCCATAGGACTTGAACCCTCGAACTGCGAGATCATGACCTCAACCGACTCAACCACCCAGGCACCCCAAATGAGTATCTTACATAACAATCTTAAGTAATGGAACTGGCTGGTTTTCTGTGGGTAAAAAAAACACAACTTGTAGACACGCAAATACTACCAACTTAAAAGATTTAATGTGGTTTTCATAGCAACTCAGTTAATCCTAAGCCAAAATGCTTTACTGGCACTTTTGATTTTGTGTACAGAATGGCCTTTCTTCTATGGTCTCTTCACCTGAGAGTAGTCATTTTTAGCCTGGATTTTCTGACTTTTAAAGTTGTCAAATACTGGAAGGGATACTGTGATGGCTTAATAATAATTTTGATTTACTTGAGAATCCTATGGTTAGGGATTTCTTAGGACTTTGTATAAGTTCTCTTTGTTCAGCCCTTCCAGCGTGTACATGGCATATGAGACTTGAAGATTGCAAAATCAAAGAAGTAGTGATGATATGTCATGATTTCTCAGGAATCCCTTTCTACAAGAAGAAGTTACAGATATTTTATATCAGGAATATCGACAACTCTGAAGCTAAAAGCTAGTAACTGAAGCAGGAAAAGTTTTGCATACTGATTGTTTACTCACATTAGAGAAGAATGGCATGCTTTTCAATTTGCCCCCCTTGATTCAAGCTGAAGTTCCTGCACAAAGTATCAGAGTTGATGGAATACCACTTAAATGCTTTGTTTCTGAAAATAAGGTTTTTCCTCACCCCCAGGGAACTTGGGAATAGATGGAGGGATTTTACATCTCAGAGCAAATTTGAGTTGTTTCTAGTACCTGACATGCTAGGTTAGAGAGGTGAACAGACCGTAACCTGGTGTTCTGGCTTTGACATCTCTCACACTGCTGATTGCCATGCTCCTGGCTGCTGGGATACCCCATTCTTCCCTCTCTGGTTAGATGATGCTCTGCCCTTGGTGGACTGAAGTCTGTGCTTGCCATGGGTGCATGTGGACATCACCCAAACTGATACATTGTCATTCTTGGGTTACAGGCTATGAGAGACCCTTGTAAATTATTATCTTAATATAGAGTAAGGCTTGAGCGATTTCTCTGTTCATGCACATTTCCTAGAACTCTAATACTGGAAATAAAAGTGGAGGTTGCCCCAGTTAGGCCAACTCTTGGCCGGACAGGTTAGGTAATTTGATCAAGATCACGGCCTCTCTTTAAGCCGCAGCATGGCTTACAGACTTAGTCCTGTACAGCAGAGGTACAAGCGTGTCTCTCAGTGTGCTAAGGGAATATTATTTGCATATTAAGTAGAAACTCTTAAATGATTTTGAGATGCTTGAGACTTTTCTCCTAGAGTGATTTGGATATGAGCAGTGATCGCACATGTCATTTTTGAGCAGCTGGTGAAGATGGCAGAATGTGATTATGTCACGTGCTTAATCTATTACATCTGGTAGCTAGAAAAATTTAGAAATTCTCTGAGAGTTGGAAGAGGAGATCTCTCCATTTTTAGAGGATTTCTATCAAAAACTCTGTTTTAAAACAGGAATTCTGTCAGCTCAGAGGTGGCACTTAGTTAAACTGCCTGCTACAGTGCCTACTGAGGAAGGACTTTATATAACGTGACCTTTGAATACCTTCATTGCCCTAATGCTGTAAGTTTTATAATTTTGGATAGAAGGAAGAGCTATGATCCTGTTTATGGTGGGATTATTTTATTTTTGGCCTTTGAACATCCCCATGACCCACTGAGACAGAGCTTTGATCAAATGAGGCCCTAGAAGGTTTTTTCTTTTCCTTTATCCTAGACTGGGAAACATTTTACACTCTTTAGAGTTTAGACATTAGACCTTCTGCACTAGGACTTCAGGCCCACTGCCTTAATTTCATTTTTAGTCTAAATAGTTCCTGCTTGGACTTTAATTACAAGCCATTTTTGTGGTCATGTTAGCAACCTTTATTTTCCCCGAAGGGTAGACTTCATCTTTGCCCAAAGCTTCATCGCTGTAGGAACTGAGCAAGGATTTCCTTGGAGAACGTCTACATTGAGCAGTCTCTAAGCAACTGCCTCTGGTTTTGACAGCAACCCTTAACTTCATGAAAAGAAATCCCCTGTGATTTGGGTGCTTCTGCAAGCATGTGGTTTGAAGGAGGCAGTAGTAAAACTACTTACATGAAAATTGTTTTCTTGGCTTTTTAAAAAAATATTAAATCCATTGAATTAGTTATAGTACTCTTATTACTTATCTTTATTTGTTGCTTTGGCCAAAACTATTTACCATAATGAGCCTCTCAAAGAGTAGCTATTGAGAAATGAAGAGTGCATTTCTTTGGCTCTGATTATTCAAGTGATTTCATAAGAAGCAGAAGTACTATTGTATTTTTTGATGTGGAATACTTCGCCGTGTCCCCTCCTCCCTCCTACAGAGAGCACTGAAGTACTGACACCTTTAAAGTAACATCCGTCTCTTCTATACCAGGTCACTTCCGGTGGAACATTCATTGGCATTGGACGGAAGACACCAGATTGCCAAGGAAACACCAAGTACTTCCGCTGTAAATTCTGCAATTTCACTTACATGGGCAACTCTTCCACGGAACTAGAACAGCATTTTCTTCAGACTCACCCGAACAAAATCAAAGCTTCTCTCCCCTCCTCTGAGGGGGCGAAACCTTCAGAGAAAAACTCTAGCAAATCCATCCCTGCACTTCGGTCCAGTGATTCTGGGGACTTGGGCAAGTGGCAGGACAAGGTCACAGTCAAGGCGGGAGACGATACTCCCGTTGGCTACTCGGTGCCCATCAAGCCCCTCGATTCCTCAAGACAAAATGGTACAGAGGCCACCAGTTACTACTGGTGTAAGTTTTGCAGTTTCAGCTGTGAGTCATCCAGCTCACTTAAACTGTTAGAACATTACGGCAAACAGCATGGAGGAGCGCAGTCAGGCAGCCTTAATCCAGAATTGAATGATAAGCTTTCCAGGGGCTCTGTCATTAATCAGAATGATCTAGCCAAAAGTGCAGAAGGAGAGCCAATGACCAAGGCAGACAAGGGCTCTAGCGGGGCTAAAAAGAAGGATTTCTCCAGCAAGGGCTCAGAGGATAACATGGTGACGAGCTACAATTGTCAGTTCTGCGACTTTAGATACTCCAAAAGCCACGGCCCCGATGTAATTGTCGTGGGGCCGCTTCTCCGTCACTATCAGCAGCTCCATAACATTCATAAGTGTACCATTAAACACTGTCCATTCTGTCCCAGAGGCCTTTGCAGCCCAGAAAAGCACCTTGGAGAAATTACTTATCCATTTGCATGTAGAAAAAGTAATTGTTCCCACTGTGCACTCTTGCTTTTGCACTTGTCTCCTGGGGCGGCTGGAAGCTCGAGAGTCAAACACCAGTGCCATCAATGCTCATTCTCCACCCCTGATGTAGACGTGCTCCTCTTCCATTATGAGAGTGTGCATGAGTCACAGGCATCGGATGTCAAACAGGAAGCCAATCATCTGCAAGGATCGGATGGGCAGCCAGCTGTCAAGGAAAGCAAAGAACACTCATGTACCAAATGTGATTTCATTACCCAGGTGGAAGAAGAGATTTCCCGACACTACAGGTAAGTCATAGTGGGATGGGGGGCAGAGAGGGATATCAAGAGAATGAAAGGAAGAATCCAGAGGGCTGATCCAAGAATCGTCGGGAATGATTGCAGTGACTTGGGGAAGTTGCAGGACAAGAAAGCATAAAAGATTGCTCATAAAAATGCAGATTACGTGTTTATAGCTGTGGTAACCACAGATTCTAATTTGGTTACTTGTTTCAGACCATTTACTCTTCTGCTTCATACCTGTTTTATGCCATTTACTGAATATGTTTTAAAATTTGCAGTGATGATGGTAATACTGATAAATTTCCTTATTTACCACAATTCATTTATTTGTCCTTGCTAAGTGATTCCACATCCCATATTTGTTGATGGAGGAGCTCCCAAATGAAAGGTGCCATTATAATATGTTCTCTTCTCTGTCCCAACTGGAAAACGATCTGCTTGAGAACACATTACTCATATTTCTTTTCAAATGAGAATGAACATCCTTCTGGCTCTAAAACATTGAGCAACACCCTTGTTTCGCAAAGAAACTATAATCTGAAGGTGAGCATTTTGTCATATGTGTGACTTTGGACTTCTGTACATTCACTCCTTGGAGCAGGTAAAGCCATGTCAGCTCTTTCAGATTCGTAAACAGATACAGGGTATTTTCATTTTCTTTCCCACTTCGACTCTATTCTCTTTATAAATGTTAGTGTTCCCAGTTCATCTTTTATATCTTCTAAAGATGGGCTTAGGATATGTATCCTTATTTCATTTCTGTATTCATTCCAAAAGTATCCATTATGCCAGGCATTGATAAAGGATAGAACAAGACGAGTATAGTCAGTGTCCACAGGGAACTTACAGTTTAGTAGGGAAGATGTTAACAGATCCTTGTGAGTATGAGTGTCGTAACAGATGAAGTAGGGGCTGCTTTGTTTCACTAGAATGACCTCATAGCCCAATATGGTAGAGAGGAAATGCCTCTTTGAAGAAGGAACATTTACACGAAGTCTTGGTTATATGACTAGGAATTAGTTTAGCACAATCCTGGTAATACAGCATGTTGAGATATTACTTGGCACGCAATGGGTGCTTTCTTGCTATTGTGCTTAGAGAAGCATAAACATAAAAAGCTTTATTTACTCTTTTTAAGTGTTTTTCCATATGTAGACTCAATATCCTAGTTTAAATATCTAGTTATTTTTTTTTCCTGTCCCAAGATTTTAAAGTTCCTCTCATTCTTTTTACAAGTGTGTTAGTATGAGTGCGTGTGTGTTTTGTCAGTCACCAGTAATGAAACAGTTCATGTCCAATAATAGGCTAATAATGTTAGATGTTAATTTGAAGGGCATCCTAATGTTCACAGTGAATCTAAATGTTCAGAAAACACTTCCTTGAGATTTACACTGTTTAATTTATAAGGTCAGCCCTAGGAAAGACACAGTCCTGCAATCAAATATATGTTCACACTTGGAGTGAGTGTTTCTGGCTCCTCTGATGTTAGCTGCATGTTAATTTATTTCTGGGCGAGCAGACATTAGCCTCCTTCTGAGCTTTACTAGTGCGCATATATGTTTTTTAGGTGCTGTAAAAATTAGGTAATCCTGTCTGTGTTTAAAGGAAGAGGAGGCTTTCTTTAATCATGAGGAAATAAGCCACCCCCCCCCCCCACACCCCTACATACACATCTGGATACCAGATCATTTCCATGAGTAGCTTTTCTTGAGGAAGCTGAAGCCATTGCTTGAAAACCTGTCTGGAAAAACAGACTTTCTGTATGCTTTCGTCAAACAAAAAAAAAAAATTCTCCCAAGCAATAAAAGTATGAATAAAAATATTACTGAATAATTTCAGAGTTTAGCTAATAGTAATGTAAATAAGCTCTAGAAGGAAGAGACTAGTCTTTTCTTGTTCACTGCTCTATCTACACAATTTAGCACAGTGCCAGAATGGCTAATAAGTGCTCAGTGAGTAGATCTTTAAGTAAATGAAGTGCCTGTGAGTTTTTGACTTCACAGTCGTTAAGGATAAGCCAAGATCTCCATGGTAAGTTACAGTTTAATCTTAGACTATTATATGGTCTAAAAACCTTCTGAGGATTTAGGGCACCATACCAAATGACAGTTGTCTGTGCATTTTGGATATAAGTCAGGCTTTCAGTATTTTATTAGATGAGAAAACTGAGCAGTACTTGTTCCTAGGGCATTAAAATACTCCTGTACTTGTTCTTAAAACCTGATGTGATTTGTGTGGTCCTACATCCTTTAGGGTGCTGAGTAGTTTATCTCCGATCTGTTTATGGGCTCTTACAGAAATATTTGAAATTTGGAGACTTATACTTTCAGAACTCTACTGAAGGTTGAACAACAGTGGAGGCTCTAGGGATGTGAAAGGAAATAGTTCTGTGGGCGCTGAAAATCTGTTCTATCAACGCATTTTCCCCACATGCTACATTTTGGAGATAGTATAAAAGAACAAGTTTACCATATTGCAGTAATATTTTTCTGGTTAAATTTATGTTGATTCATATTATTCGTGTCGGGAAACTTTCTCCATAATTCTGATATAACTACGGAATATTCTTGGCTTTTGAGTGCTTTATAAACAAGACTTAACAGTGTAGTAAAAAGGTAGTATAAGCTATGATCTATAAAATATGTAAAATCAGGTAGCTGTAAGAAAAAACTACAGCTGAGAAGCAGGAGAGTTGATTTAGAGCTATGAGTGAAATCCTTCCTGTGGATTCTCTTTGGTGGGCATTTTCATGAAGAACCAGGTTTAACCTCAGTTGAATTGCAAACGTCAGCAACTGGAACTTGATCAGTTCTCTTTTACTTATGGTGCCCCTTGCTCACATTTGACATGACTGTATTCCACCCATGAATTTGTTTCTCACACCCCATTTCTCTTATTATTTATTACTCGATTAAACAGTATACCCATTCTCTAGTTGACCACCATTCTCATCAAAGTTTTCAGCGTTGTAACTTATTTCTGGAGTCAGTAGGAGTACTGTACCCTTATAAAACAATGATACTAGATAAAACATACTTTTCAATGCCTTGCTAGACTCCTGTGAATTAAGAGAAACTTCTGAAGCTTTTCTTGTTTTTCCTTCACTAAAAGTGGACGAAATCCAGACTGGGGCGAAGTGAGCAGGAAGTATGGAGTGTGAGATTACACTGAGGCAAATACTAGTCGGTCAAGAGACTATGCCTGGAGTCACTGAGAGAGAGAGAGACTGCTGAATCTGAGTTTCACTTCAAGTTGACACCTTGAAGGTGGCTAAAGTGATTCCACATTTAGAGCCTTCTCTGACTCCTCTCAGAAGTAGGCACAAATTTGTCTATATGAAATACTCCAATTTTCACCTCCATGATATCTGTGGCACAAGATAAACCTTATCTTATAGAAGCTCATTATTATAAAAATTGACCATATACATAGGGATATAAACCATTTTATAGGAAATCAGTAGGAAATGTCATAATGGCTTTAGACACCCGGGGAAATTATAAATTATAAATATATAATAAATTATTCAGTTATAGAAATGTTTTTAAACTATATTTTTCAGTCATAGAAAAATATCATTTAAATAAATGAAAATCAGATTTGCAAGTTGATCAAACTACATGGACTATAAATGACTCGAAATACTCAAAAAAGAATCAAATAGCAGTTTTGAATTGAAAATATAATTATTGAAACTTAATATATTGATAGGTTCAGTAACAGATTGGCAAATGATAGAAGGCAAACAAGTTGATCGCAAGTTAAATCTGAAGACATTAGCCTGAATATTTAAGAGTGGAAGGGGATGGGAAGTATCAACAGTAGATAGTAGGTTATAAAAATATAGTAAGCTGTTTTAAACTGCATATAATTAGAGTTCCAGGAGGAAAGAATATATAGAATTATGTATAATAATTCTTCTATAATATAGAAGATAGGCAAGTAGTATTTGAGGAGATAATGGCAGATTTCCTAGAATTGAAAGATGAAAGATATAAGCACACATATACAAAAATATAACTTATACTAAACAGGGGTATAAGCAAATCAGTCATAGACACATTGTAGTAATAATTAAAATTCTAGAGAGGTCGTCTTAGAGCCTGTAGAGGGAAGCTACATATCAACTATTTAGAAAAGACAATTTGGCTGACTTTAGCAGACTTTATCAACAACAACAGAAACCAGAAGAGGGAGAAAGTCTGTTCAAAGTTTTGAAGGAAAAAACACAAATAATGATCAACCTACGTATTGTCTACATGTGAAAATAACCTTCCAAGAAAAAGCAAAATATTTTCTCATAGGCAAAAACCAGGGAACTGTGGATAAATCAAACAACCATAGTCTGCCTGATTTATGCAGCTAAAAAGAGATAGACTAAGATGTTGGGCAATGGAATATGAACATTTGTAGGGAATATGATCAGAAATAAGGTGCTATAAGGCCCTTGAATTGTCTGGAGTTAGTGAATTAGGACTTTGCAATGCATACTTGGAAACTTTTAAGGTTAACCAATGAAGGAATAGGAAATGGGTACATAATTTCTGAAGCTATAGAGAATGATACAACAAAATAAAATTCTATCTATTTTCTAAAAAATGGTAAGAGAGGATACAAGGTTAAAATGCATAAATAGATGAATATTTAAGTGTATAAATAGAATTCCAAAAGCAAGATGGTAAAAAAAAAAAGGAAAGACCAGCTATCAAAACCTGAATGAACCTGTGTAGATTGAACTTTCCACTTAAAAGGTATTGCCAGACTTAATAAAATGGAAAATCCAAGGGGCACATAGGTGGCTGTCTCAGTTGGTTAATCATCCGACTCTTGATTTTGGTTCAGGTCATGATCTCAAGCTTGTGGGATTGAGCCCTACAATGGGCTCTGTGCTGAGTAGGCAGCCTGCTTGGGATTCTCTCTTTCCCCTCTCCCTCTGCCCTTCTTCCCCTACTTGTTCACTCTCTCTCTCTCTCTCTCTCTCTCAAAATAAGTAAATAAACTTAACA